GAAAAGGCAGTTTAGAGACGGATGGAAGTTGGAAAGGGAGCCAGAGTCAAGGTTAGGCTTCTTTAAGAAAGTGGTCACTTTTGTTGTTTTAAAATACGATGGGACGAACCCTTTGTTCAGGGAGTTGTTAATTATCATCAACACTGTTGGACCAGTACAGGCTAGAGTCTGAACAAGCAAAGAGGGAGGTAATATTTCCAGTGAACAAGTAGAAAGTTTCATTTTGGCAATTAATGATGTCAGGTCATTTAAAGTCATTGGAACAAAAGAAGAAAATGACTCAGAACACTGAGGCTCATCTTGAAAAATAGAGGAGCTTGGAGATATTTACTAACACAAGATGACTCAGGACCGTAGTGATTATTACAATCAATGGTCTAAAGCCCAAGGATCTATTCATTCTACTTGTGTATGTATCAGACATGGACTTTTGCAGTTCAAGGTTCTACATAGATTGCATTTATCTAAACTGAAAATGTTAAAGATGTTTCGTCTGTTGATCCTTCTTGTGATACATGTACACGAGGACCGGCCTCATTAGCACATAAGTTACATTACATTACATAACATTACATCAGTTAGCTGAATTAGTAAACTGTGTTTCCCATATTAAGGCGTGGTTAGATAACAACTGCCTTCAGTTCAATTCTAACAAGACGGAAACCCTGATCATTGCCCCTGAACAGAAAGTTCCTTGGATCAAACAACACCTCGGTTCTCTGGGCTCTTCTTCTCAGCCGAACCTCAGAAATCTCGGTGTTCTGTTCGACCAGTCCATGTCTTTGGACAAACATTCAAAGCTCCTGGTAAAAAACTGCTTTTATCATCTGAGAAACATTTCTAAACTGAGGGCAATGTTATCCAGATCTGACCTGGAGATGATTATTCATGCTTTTATTTCTTCTCGTTTAGATTATTGCAATTCCCTTTTTACTTGTTTTAACAAAACTGCCGTCGTTCGTCTCCAGTTGGTCCAGAACTCTGCTGCGAGGCTTTTAACAGGAACTAACAGAAGGGCTCACATTACAACAGTTTTATCTTCTCTTCATTGGCTGCCTGTTGAATTTAGAATTAATTTTAAAACCTTAGTTTTGACTTTTAGAGCTTTAAATGGACAGGCCCCCCAGTACATCACTGAAATGTTGTTTCCTTATTCTCCAGCCCGCTCCCTTCGGTCTTCAGCGCTGAACCTTCTTAAGGTTCCTAAGACCCGGTTTAAAACTCAGGGTGACCTGTCCTTTCAGGCCGTAGCCCCCCGCCTGTGGAATGCCCTGCCCCTGTCTCTCCGTGTGAACGACTCTGTTGATTCTTTGAAAACGCAGCTTAAGACATTTTTATTTCGACAAGCTTTTAGTTAAATGTTTTACTGTTTTTACTGTTTTTATTAATGAGTTGTTATTATTTTTATTTTATTTTAAGCCTTTATTTCTTTATTGTTGTACAGCACTTTGTGATTGTATCTATGATAAGTGCTATATAAATAAAGTTTACTTACTTACTTACTTACTTACACATACACTGCCGGGTCAAAAAGGTCTCCACCTGGATTTAACTCTTCAAACAGGTCCGAGCCTCCTGTTGGACTTGTTACTGCACGGACGATTACGTTTCAGCTGCAACAAGTTCTTTACCTCCAACTGGTTCAATGAGTTGCTTCTCATTTCTTCAACAACATGATGAAAGACTCATGGTGGTTGTGGAAAAGATGTCGGTCTGTTTGAGAAGGGTCAAATCATTGGCATCAAGCAGAGGAAACATCTCAGGAGATTGTAGAAACTAAAACTGGGTTAAGAACTGTCCAACACATTATTAAAAACTGGAAGGACAGTGGGACCCATCGTCTTCCAGGAAGAAATGTGGTTGGAAAAAACTCCTGAATGATCGTGATCGGTGATCATTTAAACGTTTGGTGAAATCCAATGGAAGAAAAACACAGCAGCACTCAGGGCTGTGGTTCATAGAGACAGTAAGAACATTTCCACACACACAATGTGAAGGAACTCAACTGGGACTGAACAGCTGTGGAGCCTTAAGAAAACCATTAACCAGTGAGGCTAACTGGGAAAAAAAGGCTTTAATTTGCTAGGGAGCATAAAGATTGGACTGTGGAGCAATGGAAGAAGGTCATGTGGTCTGATGAGTCCAGACTGACCCTGTTCCAGAATGATGGAGCATCAGGGTCAGAAGAGAGGCAGGAGAAGTGATGCACCATCATGACCAGTGTCTCTTCATCAGTGAAAGATGTTGGTGAAACATTAATTCAACACTGGATGAAACAGATCTTGTGACGTTGAAGAAGTTTATAGAAACAAAGACACAGTTACACATGACGTGATCAAAGATAAACGTGCTCCAACCAAATATTAGTGTGTGATCTTTTTTTTGGCCAGCAGTGTATGTTTTGGAACTGTCCTAAAATTGCAACATATTAAAACAATTTTTCAAACTCTTTCCAAAATTTTGAAAAAAAAAAAAAAAAAAAAAAAAAAATCAAACAAACAAAAAAACCCCCAGCTCAAGCCAGAGCCAGTTTTAGCTCTGGTGTGGGGTAGGGCTTTAACAGACTACTCGAGTAATCTACACATCGATTCCTAGGACACCTATCGAGGTTTTTAATTTCACGTCGAGTATTCGCGGTGACGTCATTACGCCGCAGTTACGTCATTGCGTCACGTCATTGCGTCACGTGTCATGTGATCCGCACCGGCGCAAGTTACAAAATGGATTCCTCCAAGCTGACGGATGGAGCAGAGCAGGCCCAGTCTTGACAAACAGGTGGAAATGCATCAATAGTCTGGAAATATTTCACTAAAGATGAATCTTCTAGTTCATCTCCCGTAAGGAAACAGAAAATGAAACAACTTCCTGACTGGAGCTCGTTGCGAACCGGTGATACACCATATTTTGTGACCGTAGGGGGCGGTGTTGCACTGTTGCAGGTCACAGAGTATGGTGTAACACCGGGTCCAATCCACCGAACCAGCTTCCTTCTGACATTGTTTCACAAACAAAAAGCAAAAAATATTAATCTCTAAACCTATTTAAAAAATCTATAAACATATTAATCTTTAAAACTAAACTTAATGCGCACCACAGCTGGCGGTGGTGCGGGGTGGGACCACCACTGTTTTAGTTTCGTTTTTGACGTGCTGTACATTTCTTCACGTTTGCAGCTTAATAATAATAATAATAACTAATAGTTTAGTTTTTCCTGTGACTTATTTGCAGTATGATAAATGGTAGGAGCATAATATACTCTCCCAATGTTTTGTTGGTCTTTTTTTGTTGAAAATAATGACATTTTTTACAGTTTTATTTATTTATTTATTTTTGTATCTTTAGATCCTATGATGTCATCAAGTACTCGAGTTCTACTCGAGTTTTATTATGTTAATGTCGAGTTTAAAAATTATGTAGTCGTTCAACCCCTAGTGTGGGGCCAGAGCCAGTTTTAGCTCTGGTGTGGGGCCAGAGCCAGTTTTAGCTCTGGTGTGGGGCCAGTCGATGTCAGGCTCCCAGACCAGAATGATCAGTTTTGTAACCTTGATAACGGTACCATACCATACCATACCAACTTTATTTATAAAGCACCTTAAAACAACCATAGCTGACACAAAGTGCTGTACATTAAAACACAACATAATAAAAGTGAAAATAAAAAACAGTTTAAAAACAGAAAACATACAATTTAAAACTAGATCCTGCTGGTGTTAAAAACATACATTTTAAAAGCATACAAAATTTAAAAACTAGATCCCGCTGGTGTTAAAAGCCAAGTAGAATAAATGAGTTTTAAGACGAACTTTAAAAATGGACAGTGAAGGGGACTCTCTGACCTGCAAAGGCAAGTCGTTCCATAACTTAGGGCCCATGACAGAGAAAGCCCTGTCCCCTCTGAGCTTCCTTCTTGTTCTTGGTACCTCCAAGAGCAGCTGATCTGCTGACCTGAGAGACCGATAGGGTATGTAGGGATGAAGAAGCTCAGAGAGGTAAGCCGGGGCAAGATTATGCAGTGATTTAAAAACAAACATGAGAATTTTAAAATGAATCCTAAAATATACAGGCAGCCAGTGAAGTGAAGC